GAGAGAGAGAGAGAAGAGAGAGAGATGAGAGAGATGAAGAGGAGAGAGAGAGGAGAGAGAGAGAGACAGAGAGGAGGAGAGATGAGAGAGAGAGAGGAGAGAGACAGGACGCAGAGAGAGGAGAGAGAGTAGAGAGGAGAGAGAGAAGAGGAGAAGAAGAGGACGAGAGAGAGAGAGACGAAGAGAGATGAGAGATGAGAAGGATGAGAGAGAGAGAGAGAGAGAGACGAGAGAGAGAGAGAGAGAGAGAGAGAGAGAGAGAGAGAGAGAGAGAGACAGATAGAATGAGAGACGAGAGAGAGAGAGAGAGAGAGACAGATAGAATGAGAGAGAGAGAGAGAGAGAGAAGGACAGATAGAATGAGAGAGAGAGAGAGAAGAGAGATAGAATGAGAGAGGGACAGAGAAGACAGAGAGAAAAGAGAATTTAATTCCCCAAAATAAGTACGGAATATAAAATATCCCTGCACCAGGCAACATACTGCCAACCACAACAAGAAAAGCTCATCCAGGCCTCGACATGCCAATCCTCGCTTACCTGAGTCCTTGGGTATGGCGGTGGAGGAGGGTGGCCTGGGTAAGGGGGAGGAGGTGGCGCTGGCTGCCGAATCATCCCACCTCTGGGCCCAGGCATCCTGGCCATGCCTGCAAACCCTGAAGCTTATGTGGTCAGTAAAAGTCTCAAAAGATATCTCTAGATATAAATGTATGTGGTTTGTTGTGTGTGTGTGTGTGTGTGGTGTGTGTGTGTGTGTGTGTGTGTGTGTGTGTGTGTGTGTGTGTGTGTGTGTGTGTGTGTGTGTGTGTGTGTGTGGTTTGTACAAGTGTGTAGGTGTGCTTTCATTATGTATGTTCATGCGTATCTCTCACCACATACATGCACTTGTCCATGTGCATGTTGAATATCATATAAAATAAGAATATTCAGAAAATGACCATGATATAAAAAAAATTTGAACATGAAAACATAATACTCTAAAACCTATATACAAAACACTTACTGGCTGACGGCTGTGTTATATGCGTTGCCATCTGAGGCTGCACTGGCTGTTGAGGTGCTGAACTGATATTCATATGGACAGGGCCCATTATTGGCCCAGGGGGAGGCCCAGCAGGAGGCCCAGACGACGGACCAATAGGGACCATGTTAGGGGGTGTTGGCATGTTCGAGCACTCACTAGGCCCAACACTCACTGGGGCTGACCCTGTTGTGGGTGCCATTGATTGAGAGTGTGGCATAGGAGCTCTCCCTGGCTCCATTATTGGCCCTAATCTCTGCTGCTGAGCATTGGGACCCAGGTTCTGGAGAGCCACTGGTACACGTCCTCTTGGTCCACAATTGGAGTTCACTGGGTTGGGAAGATGTGGTTGGGAACCTTGGCTGGGGGAGACAGTTGGGCAGGGTTGTGCATGTGTTCCCGAAGAGGGTGGCCCAACAGGTATGGTCGTTGGCAAACTAACCTTCTCCTTTGCTAGACCTGGCACACCTGGTCCAGCTTCATCAGATTTATTTCTCTTCCTCCTACAACAGATATAAATTTTGACATCTATGTAACAAAATGTATACTAAAAGAATGACTAGCCTTCCTGTTCAGTCAATTTCTTAAACACTAGCTCAACTCACTTTCTTTACAACAAATAAAAATAAAAATAAAATTTTTATGAATTAAAAAATTAACCAACCGTTCTTCCTCATCTGCATCTAAGACATTGAAGAGATTTGATGGTAGCTTCTCATCATCTTCCTCTCCATCTTCCCCATCCGCAAATTCCAAAAGAGCATTGAAATCTCCTCCCATACCTGCCAAAACAATTTCCTATTAGTAATCATATGCATAACATACCACATGATTTCTTTATTTATAAAATGTAGCTAAATACAATTTGACCATAAGCAAAAAAACACTCACCTAGTAAGTCATCCTCCATAGTAGTCAGATCTCCTGTTCCTAGATCCTCTAGGTCATCACCCCCTTGGCCTTGCGTCTGAGCTGCAGGTTGGGGAGTAGACTGTTGGTTCGGAGGCTGTGGCTGGTGCTGTTGCTGCTGCTGCTGCTGCTGTTGCTGCTCTTCTTCCAGCTGCTCCAGTTCCCTAGTTACTGCCTCAGGTAGTTCAGATTCTGATTGCTGCTGACTATTAGCTTGGGGTGGTTGTGGGTGAGGCTGAGGGTGTGGTTGAGGATGGGATAACTGAGGATGTGGCTGTTGTGGAAGAGATGGATGTGGCTGTTGCTGAAGTGGCGGGTGTCCTTGCGGGTGTCCAGGGGGATGGTGAGGCTGCTGTGGGTGTGGAGGTGGACCAAGTGGGTGCGGAGGTCCCGGAGGGTGGTGGGTGGGTGATTCAACTGGCACAGGGACAGGACCTGCTGCACTGATGTGGGGAGAACCCATGCCCTGGCTCACCATCACTGTTGTTGGGGACCTCTGACCACACACACTGGTTACTCCAGGACCAACATTCATGTACTGCTGGTGTGGGCGTTGCTGTACTACATGACTGA